TCCATCTTCTCGGTATATTGTTTTTTGTCCATTATCACTGTAGCTCCTCCTTTGTCCGCCTGAAGGACTATTTGTCTATTTTTTCCAGGGTTTTGCGTATCCCTACAAACCTATTCCCGTGTGTAGACTCCTGATGGTTCAAGATTTTTGGGATTAGTTCCATCTCCATTTCCCGTTTTATTTCCTCAGGGTACTTGTCGGTGATATTGATAACCTCGACCAAGATGCCTCCTAGGGGGCTCCTGTTATGTTGAATTGAAAAATTTAGTCCTTTCTCCAGGAGCGCAATTGTTTCGGGATTGAGAGGTATTGATGATAAGTTTACTACTTTCTTTATTTCCCCGTGCTGATCAGTAAGTTGTCTTTTTCGAGACCAATTCAACTGGGCGCATTGTCTTCAACTTAGGCTGTCTAAAAATCTCAAACTTACGCAACTTATCATGCCGTTTGGTTATTAAGTCAGAAATCCTACGTGATTTCCTGTCCGTCATGCTCTAAAGTTTTTGAAAATCTTGCGGAGACAGGACTCTGACCAAATCACGCCGGAGCTTCGACTTAATATCAATAAACTTAAACAACTTATTGCGTTCTTTGTCATAGGTCTCACTTAGCTTCTGAATAGAAGCATAGTGAAGATGCTCATTAACCTTATCCGAATGGTAAGGTCTCTTAAGGTCACAGAAATTTTCATTGCCTTTACTATCATGTTTGTCATAAGCTGAATACAGTGGCTATTCAGCTGCATGGATCACGAGCAGTGCTTTCAAAGTAGACCCAGTAAGACCCTAGACCAGTTCAGGTGTGTGTTTAATAAATATATTGAAGACTATATAATCATATTTCGCCAATAATCCTCGGGACCTCATCCTCTGCAGGATAATTAATTTGCCTCAATTATTTTAACTCAAGGTGCAATTTTTTCGACATAGCGACGTTTCAATAGAAACGTATTTCTCCGACTAAGTATGTAACTGCAATTATGTTTGCCGTCGAATTGGCATTAAATACAGGATCGTTGCTAAGGTGTACCAATCTTGATTAGTTTTGTATCGAACTGATCATAAATTTTTCCATAAATAATTGAAGAGTAATGTTGAAGTATTTTTTCTCGCTTGAAGAGTCGAGTGCAAGTGATGAATTGGTGACTGAGGATTTGTGCGAATAAATTATCAGCTCGCCGTCTCGCGACTCCGATGCATTCTTGTTTAGCATTCGTCCCCCATGTAACGGACATCGTCAAAAGCAAGACACCATGATTTAAGATAATTCACTAGGCAAGAGGAAAACAAAGGTAGTCGGCCGGAATCACTCTCACTTCTTATAGCATAATTATGTCCACTTGGTAAGGTATTTCATGATTCGGTCAGGTAATCTATGCTTTTCCTACATACTGCTGAAAGGTGAAGTGGCTGTGGATTGCATGTGAAATAACAGCAATAAAGTGAGACGCAATTGGGACCGAACAGCGGTACCGCCCAAAGACTATTTGTATCCTGAATCCTGCAACGTTGCTGCTTGTAATCGCGTTCCATTACACTCATGCTGTATACATATACTGTTTGTGAGACGTGTAAAGTCAAAGAAAACCAGATTTGAGGCTAATCAAGCCTCCTCTTGCTCCGCGCTATCTCTAGTTGCTTATCTCTAATCGTATTCTATAGCCACTAGTCGTTCTCGCATAATTCTGCATACTCGTTCCTCTTATTAAGGCTGCTATGGAATCCCAAATCCCCTGCTTACTGGTACGGTTCGGCTGTAGACCAGTTATGCTAGTTGTGATTTTTTGACACAGAAGAGCCAGAGCTCTGGAATTGACATTGGATCAACGCCCCTGCTTTGAGGAGTACCAATTTAGACGAGAGCTCAACAATGTTGACGATTTTATGGATGGGCTATGCCGTTTTACTTTTGATGATAAGGTGTGCGAACAAACATGAAGCTAAGCTGAGGTTGTGCTTGCCCCCAATTTGAACAAATAGCTAGATTGCTCGATTATAGTCAGTTATACACAAAGTACTCGGAGTTCGCGAATTGTTGGTGAGGGATATGAGTAACTACTTTGCTGTTTATTAACATGGCAAATGAAGCCAAAAACGCTTCCTAATGTTAATGAGTATAATGAATGGGAAGACCAAGTCGAGCATGGAATTAGAAAAGGATGATAGTCTATCTGTTCTAGATGTCTGTCTATGAAAACCTATAGAGCAGTGCAAAGAAACGAGTCCTCAATTAAGACATACGTGTCTAAGTTTCTAAACGTTTGAAGCTGAGAATCCGATAGAGTAAGAATCTGTGACCAGAAATATCAGTTTAAATGTTGCATTACTCATAAAAGGGAATCAACTCTGCGTAGTAGTGTTAGCGCCTCAGTTAAGAACCAATAAACATCATTTCTGAGCCCCAGAAACAGAAAATGGCATATTATTTAAATAATATGAACACAAAATAAGTGATGGTAGTCTCAAAAGGAACTACACATCTTAAATCTAAATTAAATTTAGGCAATGAGATTCAGTGTTTTGGTAGATACCGATCTGATTAAACGATAAAAATGCTAGCAGCAGCAGACATTAATGAAGCGAGCCATTTGCCTTATCGCGATAGCGATTTATCATTAACCGATTAAAGCACCTACTCATCAGGTATATGCATGCACGTGTGCATACTTGTACTCAACCACTAGGAAGCGAATGAGGGACTTAAATAGAATGTGAATAGGATTTGCATCGTACAACGCCGAAAAGGATTGTAACGATTGTCATGCTCACCGCTAGTGGATGAAGTAACAAAAAAATAGTAAAACGTTTATATTTCGTTTTAGTCGTTTTCTAATAAAATTTTCAATAAAACGAAGCAGCAATGTGCATGTGGAAGAAATATGTACAATTTTCTTAAAATTAAAGGCAAATTCTATCACTAGAAGATTTAAACAAAAGTAAACAAGATCGATCATAGAAGCGCGCTTGGGAAAAGGTAAAAAATAGAATAATCAAGAATAAATAGATGTAAACTCACAGCCCAAAATACGGAAAAACGGATTCATATCAGCTAAATTGGTTGGTTCGAGGCATGAAATGACGCCAAATCTCTTGGCACATACTGACCTGGTTACCAGTAATTCTAAGAAGCTTAATTGCTGAATCTTTATCTAGATCTGAGCAGCAAGATAGTAATATCCTAAAGGAGTCACCGAAGAAGGATACATCACAATTTGGAGTATTTGGAATTTGTGATGAGATTATAGACGTGGACACTGAGGATTTTTGAGCAGGAGACCGATGAATCTGTGGGCTGGATACGATTGGAGTTACCGTAGGATAGGTACCGTTAGCCGAGAGAATCTGCGCACCAGAAGCAGTCTCGATATTATCAGACTCGCTCTCTGAATCTGTAAAATCCAATTGGGCATAGTTCAAGTCAGTACCACCATCACTATTTATTTTTGTAGCTGGGTTTTGTGTGATCTGAAAACCAGAATGCATTGCGAAGGCAGAGCACATCTTTAGGGGAGGATCCAATTGAAGAGACGTTTGACGGCCAGACCCGGACGTATCTGTTACTGAGGCAAGAGTGCAGGGTGAATTGTGGGAGGTCTCCTCGGATAAGGAATTCGTGCAATCAGACAATTTTGTAGTTGTGTTATTCGCTGCACGAGTAGAGAAAATAGAATCCATGTTAGGTTCCAGAGAATCACGCGAAGATTCGCAAGCATGTGGGTCCCTAGTTTGTTTCTCCAATATAGTATCACCTTTGAAATTGCACGTAGTATAAGCCATTCTGGAAGGTTTGTATGGATCGATAATTATATCCTCAACACCCTTTATCTCGAGACGACAGAAAGGACACATTTGTCCATTAACCAAATACTGACAGTTTATCAAACAACTTTTGCAGAGCAAGTGTCCACATGGCTCCAGCCGGACATCTTTATCGTTCTCAGCACAAATCTTACAAAGTTCAAACGTAGATCCCATTTCACAATATATTTGATATTGCTCTTGAGAGACCTGGAGATGGACTTCTGGGAGGTTGTGCACTAATTGATATAAAATAGAAGAGTCGCTTTGTTTACCATTAGGGTAAAGATAGAAATTCTCGTATTCTCCGTCCAAAAGTGCTCTAGCCAGAGATTTATTTTGAATTATAGTTTGAAGAATCTGGAGATCTTCCGTAATGTATCCAATTGCCCATTGACCAAGCTTCGTGCATGACGCTCTGAAGACATAGCTCCCAGACCCCGGATGATGTTTATAACGAGACAAAACCGCCTTGACCTCGTCATAGGTCATGAAAGCCATGTAACCAGGGTGGAGGACAGCAAGCGCTTTCCATGTCTCCAAGATGTTATTCCATGGTTGAAAAAGTCTTACAAAAACATCAAATTCAAAAATTGATACATGTTCGTTGCAAGTAAGGTCAATCGTACTCTGAAGAGCCATTAATTGGCTAGGGTCACTAACTCCGAAGCTGAGAAATAATGCTGTTTTAAAGATGTGCCATGGAACGATCGCCCTGCCCTCAAAGCTAGAATTCCACCATTTTGCAGCATCAGGTTTGGTTATGCGAAAGGACTCTGGAGAGTAATAATTAGACGGGAACAAAGCATCAAGATCTTTAAGGAGATGGGAAAAAATTAAGGATAATTTAGTAAGCCTATGCCTACATTGAGACTTTTTATCAAATATCCGATCCTTTGACTCCTTGAAAAGTTTAACCGTCATTTTACATTTATCGCACAACGTTGAAATAAAAATCCGGAAGTAATCGAGTTTGCACAATACCTCGTAGTTTTCACTGTAGCGATTTACAATTTCTCTTAACCTGTTGTATATATCAGGCAGATTGTCCAGAATATACGGAGGGCTGTTTTTAAGCTCCAAGGCAGGCTGGAGGCACAACTGGACCACTCTTTCTATCATTTTATGCGCCGAGTTTATTGTTTTCTTCTCAATTGATAGATATGCGGCCATATTTGGCTTAGTGCAAGTAGATGAAGCAGTGATGAGAGACCCAGAGAGAGTTTCCACCAAGCCATGCACTCTGGAAAAAATTCTTCTACCATTAGAGTGCATATTAGAATCAATATCATTAAAATCTTGATGAAGTGGGGGGGCGTGTGCAACATTTATTTCACTATTGACATCCATTTCAGAAGGAATTATGAAGGGCGGCGAAGCCGCCAGAATGAGATATGTAGCAGGCGAAAAGGGCGCCCATGCGCACTCAAAGGCCTTGCTCTGATAATCACCAACTTTTTTTCAAAATTTTGAAAAACGCTAAAAACCCATTATATATGCTTTTTTAAAATATAATATAGCATATCATGAGTAACTAATGTATTTATAAATCCCAAGATCTCAATCATTTGGGTTCGCGAAATTTTAGACTATAGCATCCATAAATTACGCATCC